AATATCTGGAACTTTTTTGGAATTGGGTCAAGTTCAACAATGCCTGGGTCAAAGAAGGGACAGAGTGTCTTGGATGCAAACAGGAAAGTAAGTCATGGTGACTTGTCTGTTACTTGTAACGATGTGTCTGATGCTAAGCATGATATGGTTGATGTTACTGTTTCGCCGTTCAGGGATAATAGGAACATCAAGCTCCCTAAATTTGAACCACGATGTTTCGACGGAAACCCGGCTGATTATTTACAGTTTGTTAAAGAGTTTGAGATCATGTTGAGTAGTTTTTTGTTAAGTGGTGAATTGAAATTGATGTATTTGTTGAGGTATTGCACTGGAGATGCTGCAAGAGCTATACAGTGCTGTAAGCTCATGCCCCCTAATGAGGGATACGCTGAGGCTATGAGCATACTACGTCAAAGGTTTGGAAGACCTTCAATGATTGTAAGGAACGTATACGAAGCTGTCAAAGGTAACGGCAGTCAACTTCAAGATGACTCCAAGGCACTTACTGAGTTTTTAGATAATCTTATGACTTATAAGAATGCCTTGATTTCTATGAATTGCATGAGTGACCTCAACTCGAGTTTTATACTAGCAGTAATAGCAAGACGTCTACCTACTCGACTGCAAAGGAAGTGGGTGAAGATAAGCTCCCGTATGGAGGATGAGGGTATCGAGCCAAAATTTGATGATATCCTGAAACTAGTAAAAGATAGTGTCAATCAATCTATGAGCAAGTTTGCCAGTATATTGCATCCCACCCCTAGAATAGAGCAGTCTGAGATCAAAATGCAATCATTGATGACGAATAGGCCTCAGAGAGGTGGATATCGAGAAGGCTCCATGATGTCTAGTAATGCATATAGACCTAGTGAGTGTAACAGGTTTCGTAGTACATCGTCAACAGATAAGTTACAAGATGCAAGACAAAGACGGTTGTGTTTTACACGTTTGCAAGAGGTGCATACAGAAGTGAACTGTGAACCAGTGAGCAAGTTCAGTGATAAGCTAAATGTAAACTCCAGGCCTGACTCCAAATTATGTGACGATAACGGTGCGGTGAAGAAGTCTGTAGTTGCAACTGGTAAGCCATTGTTGAATAGAGTGTCACAGAATAGAGTTGCTGCTTCAGAGTGCAGTTCTGACTCCACAAGTTTACAAGGTATTACTAGTCAGAGTGAAGGTATAAAACCTTTTATGATTTGTGAGGAGGAACCAAAATTGTCTACTTCTGTTATTAAAGAGTTTGAAAATGATGAAGTTGACGGTAAATTGAATATTTGTGATAATGATCATGATACTTCACAGTTGTCTTTGGTTGATCATGATGAGATGAGGGAAATGCCTACCACTGCTGAGTTGAACAAAGGTTCTGTAGAACTTGAACGTGAAGTAGAAATAAATGCAGATGCATTTGCAGAAGGCATGCATACTTGTCAGACCGTCAGTGTGAGTGATCAGCATGTAGCCCACCTATCATCAGATGCTAGTGTTAAACCTGAGCTGATAGTAAAAGACAGCCGTGGTGGTGGTCCTGCAGGTAGACAACTTTCTGAAAGTCGAGCAACAACACCTTATGATCCACCACTAACTTCATCAACTGGTATCAATCGGTCATAGTTGGTGTTGTCATCCACAATGAAACAGTCGCCCATCAACTCAAGTAACTTCTGCAATGACTATGATAGTATTGGTGCATTTGAAAAGACGAAAGATATTGTTTAGTTTAGAGAGGATAAGCCAAGTGTAAACGAGAGAGTAATTGTTAAATTGACTTGCATGAATAAAGGCATTTCTAGTTTCAAGTTACTATTTGAATGCTATTATCTATGGTGTAAATTACTCTGTTTCTACGCTTGGTTGACCAGATACTTCGTGTGTTTGTTGGTCATCTATGTTCTACGATACAATGACATGAGCGTGTTGCCGTTCAGATTTGAGGATATAGCTGATAGAAGGAAATCAGCAAATGAACTCTGCGACGATTTTCCAACCTAGGGCGTCAACCTGAGAAGGGTTGTAGGCGTACTGCTGTAAGTCCTACAGTTCTTCAAAGGGTAGCGCATCAATGAGCAGTCCAATGTGCTTGGTGTGTGATTTTGTACATATGTTCATATTGTATATACTGAATTGATATCATCTGTCATCTAGCTGTTGGTAATTCTGTTTGTGTCCGGACGACTTCCACTTGTATCATCAACCTGAGAAGGAATGTAGGCGTACTGCTGTAAGTCCTACAGTTCTTCAAGGGTAGTTTGTTGTGCCAGAATCCACAACATTTGATGTGTTGATTGTACATATGTTTGTGTTAAATAGTTGTGTGAGTTCCAATTGATGTAATTGTTGGTTAATCTTGTTTGTGTCCGGACATTCCACAAATTACAATCGTCAACCTGTGAAGGGTTGTAGGCGTACTGGTGTAAGTCCTGCGATTCTTCAAAGGAATTCCATCAAGAGATGATCCGCGAGTTTGTGTGTACTGTCTGGATATATGTGTGGTGTGTCATATCAATTGGTGTGTTTTGGATTCATTGTGTTTACTTGTTGTTTTCGTATCTTGTTGTTATTGCGTAATTTTGTTAAAATTTTCGTCGTGATTTCTTCTGAAGTTGTTTCGAGTCTTCTACATCCGTGAATGAATTGATTGATGTTAAGGACAGCAGATGGGTCGTATACGCCGGGGAGGCTAGGCTATTGCTGAGAATGAAATGCACACGGAGATAATTGTTAGCTGCGGTCCGACACGCCGGGGAGAAAGAGTGTAAACGACTGAGGCTCGCATACATCACCGTTACTAGAACTGAGGCAGAATGAGTGACAAGCGATTGCAGTGGTAATTGGTAGTGAGTAGATAAGAGGATGTGCGTAGAGTATCATGAGGTGCTGCCATAGTCACGTTGCATTCTGCAAGAGTCATTCTAGCAAGTGGCGATTGTGTTGCAAGAGGATTCCTTTAACTGGAAGGCGCAGGTCGTCTGTCATGTGTGAGACTGTGCTGTGAGTATGCTTGTGGTGTGTTGGCTTTTCTGTTTGTTTTCCATTTCAGCTCTGTCTGTGTGACCCAGGTTCTCGCAATGGCATCCAAGTCAACGTGTATTGATCGTGATGGATAAAGGGAATAGATCCTTTTTGGCCGGGGAGTGTCAATGTAGTTGAAGATTGAACGATCAATTCATGGTTGTTTGCTCAAAACCAACTTCACCAATTTTCGCGGAGGCATCAATACGACAGTCATCGTCTCATCGGTCGCTGTTCAGAAAGAAGTCAGGAGACAACCATCAGAAGTAACATTGTGATTTATTATTGTAATATTTGTTCACAGACCTTGGTAGAATTATTTTTTATATGTTGGTGTTACAATAAAGAATTATCGAGTCGTCAAAATGAGTTTTGGTTTTTGCGTCCGTTATTACTAAGCGTTTCTGAGAAACTTCAAGGAACAGCGTGAGCCCGAGCGTAGCAAGAGCTGGGCATTAACGGTTTACGAGACGTGGCTGACACCAGGTCTTCTAGGTTATTCACGTCTGTCCAGGATATCCATGTCTTCTCGTTTCCCTTTGTGTGATGCGTAATCCAGTCGACCACAATTAGGAATATCATCGTGGGTGATAATAAGCACCCTTTCCTGACTCCTACGTTTACTCGAAACGCCTCGCTGAGTTTCCCCTTGTGGATGACTTGACATGTGCCGTTGTCGTACAGCTGTTGAATAAGGTTGATGAATATTTGGGGTACGCCGTAGTACTCGAGTAAATTCCAAATTACTTCGCGATCAACGCTGTCGAAGGTATTTTCAAAGTCTATAAAGTTGAGGTAGAGGTTTGACTGCCATTCCATGCTTTGTTCTGTGGTGATGATGCGTAGAGTTGCAATTTGGTCAGTACATGATTTGCCTGACTTTCCTGAATCCAGCTTGTTCTGGTCGGACTTCTGCATCCAGTGCGTCCTTTATTCTCTCCGGGATGATGCGACTCAGGATTTTACTTTGCGTCGACAGGAGCATGATTCCTCGCCAGTTCTTTCAGAGTGAGGCGTAAGTCGCCCTTCTTTGGTAGTTTCACGAGGTAACCTTTCCTCCAGTCAGTAGGCAGCTTTCCCTCCTTCCAGACCTTTGGCAATAATGGAGTCAGCATGTCTGCTGTAGTCTCTGGGCCCGCTTTCAGTGCTTCAGGGGGTATTCCATCCGGTTCAGCTGCTTCTTCAGCTTTCGGAAGCTTGATTGCTTTCAACGCTTCAGCTTTCGTTGGAGGATTGGTGTCAACTTGCAGTTGTGTGCGCGCTGTTCTTGGTATTTCTGGACGGGTTGCAGGTGGTGGTCGGTTCAAGAGTCCTTTGAAGTGATCCGCCCATTGTTTAATCTGTTTTTCTTCCTCGTTAATTGGGTTCTCTCGGCTGTCTTTTACAGCTTTCACTTGTGTTAATCTCTTCCCGGATAGAGATTTGGATCATTTCACTTACCCGATTCCAGCGAAAAATAATGTTATTGTTTATGTTTTTAGGATTTTTATTGTATTTATTCGTTGAAGTTTCTGTAGCGATTTGTTTGTTTTACGGGGGTGGAGTTGCTAGCACCACGCCATAACCCTCCCTCTTTACCCGTGCTTGGGAGCGGCTAGAAAACTAGGAAGGTAGTAGCCTAGTAAGCTAGTAATTTGGCGAGGTTATATATATATATCGACTTCAAATTTAATTAGCTGCCTGTTCCTACGTTTTATTTTTCAATCATTCGGTCTGAATAGCCCATACTAATTATGTCTAATATTATTGCTACTATTATCTCTTTTCTTTTATCGACGACACCGGAGGACTAACTGGTGAAAAGACCAACTAAATTCGCAATGGCAGCGCGACCTCAACACACCGCGTACTACAAACAACATATAATTAATCCCAGCGCCACTCCTTTTGGGAGTCAACCAAAGCTACGACAGTCGAGTGGTGGGACAAACTATGCAGAACTTTACCGAAGTCCAGGAACCTTTACCTCACAATCAAGAAGTGAGCACAAAGAAATCAAATTGGTTTACACTAGCTAGTAAAACCGATATTGGAATATATAAGAAATAAATAACTTGGCTATTAAGTATTGGAATTCAACTATTTCAGTATATATACGAAATAAGCCGAAAGTATAGGGTAACTGGAACTCAGAAGTGCCGCTGTTGTAAGTTCGAATATAATGTCAACCTGGCCAATCGCGGGCAACTCAGCCAGTGTTCAAAGGTGCATGCTAGTTGCGCTAAAACGGCGTACGGTCGACGTGTAATGCAATAGAAACCACTATAATGCCACTAAACAAGTTTCTCTTTCTTCTTTTTCAGATAGAAACGTTGACGTGGCATCACTGGAACAAGAGGAAGACCGGCTATCTAGACTTGTTATAAACGATGATAATTAGCTTGTAACCCGGTTAATTCAAGTCTTTTCCTCGCCGTCTTTGTCTCCTTCCTTGGTCAGTTGTGACTGAGGTCTGTGTGTGTTATAGATGCACCTGACTACCAGGACTCCTATGTAAGTATTTTGATTGATGTATTAAGAATAGTAAAATCTTACTAAAAAGGTGGGGATTTTATTATCTGGAGCAGTGCGAGTTTTCCTGATAACTATACATACTATGCTTATAATTTATTTTTTAACGGGCCTTAAGTGTCTGCTTCATATGAGGTAGGGTTTGGGATTTTCGGAGGCAAAACATTGCATTTCCTCCAAATTTTTATCTGGGATCAGTGTAACTTCACCTGTGTGTCCATGGTTTTCAACCCACTAAAGATTAGACATACATGGTGCAAAACCTGCTTATTGAATACGGGACGTGGTTGATTGATGGCTAGATATTAAGAGTTACTGACTGGCATGGTGTCTCTTAGATCTGTGCCTTGCTCATATTGCTAGTTGTTTGTAGGTGTGGTAGATGACTTGGTGCATAGTGTTGTCTTCCTGTGATGACAACTGAGACTTCAGTTATGTTTGAAATTTATTTCACATCCTAGTATCACAATACCTCTGTTGCCTTTTCCTATCTTCTCTTGTGAATAGTGGTGAATTGAGTTGTAGCACATATGTGCAATGTTCTGCATGGTTTTTCCAGTCAAGTTATCATTTTGGAAAACATTTGTGACTTCAAATTCCACCTCACTGAAGTGTAAGTTAGACTCAAGATATGGGGTTGCTGAAAAGTTCCAGTTTCATAAGCAATCTTGTACGAAGCACTTTTTCAAAATCGTTCTAAATTCTATAAAGATGGTCATGAGTTTTTTGTTATCCGCGGACTTCACTTATCAATTCCTTGGTGTTAAGTGTGTCAGATGTTAAAGATAACTCTTACCGAAAAGCTCTGTTATGCGTTGGATAAAAAGTTGTTTCTAAATTAGCCGTGATTACTTTCCTGATTATCCCTTCCACTGTCTTAATTAAAATGCTTCTGAGAGTATAGTAGGTCTGTATTTTAAGGGACAGTGTCTAAATCTTTTCTTGTAAGTATGGGTGACTATTGCATTCCCCCAGTCAATCGGTAATGCCCCTTCTGTAAGGAATAGCCTGAAGGAACTGGTCAATTGAGCAGCTATGTGGGCTTTCCATTACTTAGTTGGGGGTTATAATACGACATCTTAGTCGACGTTGACAGGACGTATACCGTTTTCTTTTGGTGCAACCGGAGCTGATGCTACATGATGTGGTGGTAAGGCTTATGTTAAGAAACTTAACTAGACGTCTTGTTCGTGTGAGCGTCAGGTAAGAAAATAATTTTTTTTGGTGTGTATGTGTGTGTGTTGCATTGCACTCTGAACCGGATATATATATATGTATATAAAGATATATATATCGAATTTCATCCATCTATGATAATAACAAACTCATACAGTGTCCAGCTGTACGGCTTCTCTGAGAGTGATAAACACGTTGCAGCCCTTGTGTTATCTCATGTTAGATAAATATATGTGTAAAACTTGGGGACTGTGGTATTAAGTAATTCCATATTAGATAAAGTTAAAAAAATGTTAGGTAGGGTTCAAATCAAGCCATAAAGTCTCTGACTGTTAGTTTGAGTGGGATAGTTAAACAATAGCGTCCCAAGTGATCCGAACGCATAAGGGACCTTCAGCCGACCAATCATAAAAATAAGGAATTTTCGCACAAAAACTGACGTATATTTACAAGAAAATGCATGAAAACACATTAAACAGGGTGTCTTTCTCTGACATGATTTGAAAATACGTCCCAGTTATAATGAGGAGTATCAGTTGCGAAGATAGACTAGTTTCTGTACATGCATTCACAGAGGTGACTAGTGATGAGCTGTTTTTGTGAATCGTTTATCTCTCTTATCCCGTTGTGCAGTCTTCCCCAAAAGACCTCGGTTGAATTACTGTGGTTTCCAGTAAGAGGACTAACGACTACTTACCTGGAAAATGTGGATAAAACAAATTAAAATAAATGGCATCATCATAAAATCTGTCTCTAAAAGTAATCCTGACCTTAATCCTCACCCTAACTCTAAACTTAACGCTAACCCTAACCGTAAGCCTAACTCTAATGCTAATAATGACCCTGATCCTAACCCTAACCCCAATACTCGCCTTAACCCTAACGAGCTATTAACACATTGTGCAAACAGTACTTAAGAAATGTGATCTAGGTCAAATTTGCTCCTTAGTTGGTGAATAGCGTTGATATTCCAGCTATGATAATGAAAGGTGCCGTTAGTCAACGACAAGCATGCGTTTGAGGTCATTGGAGCGTTCGCACTCCTGGGACGCTATTGTTGAACTTCGCCGTTTGAGTCACTTAACTAGATGTATATCGCTTGGCTAGGTTCCTCAAGCCACTAAGAATCAATAGCTATGGACTGTTCATGGCATGACTCAAATCATTCTCAACGACACAGATACATTTACCCCTTATGTGAACTCCCAGATCTATCAGACTTTCATTGTTCTCCTTGTACTTATTCTTTAATGAAGTACAACAACTTAAACTGATAGATTTCGTTGAAAACTCAGCTGTTTTATTAACGCTGAAGAAGATACCATGAATCTATCGGTTTATCCATAAAGATAGTCCAAGGAACCTAAATAATCTGTTCTGTCATCATTTAATGAATAGCATCAAGCGTCCATTTAATTTTTGTCCGTAAATGCTTATTTTCTGGTATATAATATCAGAGTATTTTATTATTATTCCTTTGGGTTCCGGGTGAAACATAGGACCTCAACAACACATCTCCACTTTGTTCTATTTTCTACCATCCTCTTCAGCTGGGTCCATGACTCTCCATGATCTCTCATCTCTTCCTCACACGACCTGCTCCATGTCACCCTTGCACTGACGTCCCACTCGTTGCTTCTCACTTGGATTCCACCTGACCAATGGCCTGGCGCGCGATTTCATTCGACGATACCCTTAATGTATGCTCGATCCGTCTCCATTTTTCTCCTACATATTTGTTGAGCGATCGGTTCTTCGTTGGTTTGTTCCTACAGTGTCTTTTTACTAATTCTTGCTGACCATTTAATCCTCACTATGAAGTGAAGACAGCTGTTGATGAAAGTCTGCAACCTGTTGGAAATCCTTTACGTGACACACTGGCCAAGTTTCTGACCCGTATAGACGGACCGACTCGACATTGGTGTTGAAGATGCGAATCTTGTTCCTTATGCTGAGTGGAGCAGAAGATTCCCAAACTGGTTTCAGGTTGATGTACGCGTATCTTGCCTTTCCGAATCTGACTGACTGGCTAGCTGGCTTTGACATCTTTATCCGTTCCGCCTGTAGTTGAAACAATGCTGGCTGCCTAGATAAGTAAAGGAGGTAACTTCTGTTAAGGCTCTCCCGTTGATAGTGATTGGTGCGGTCCATTGGTTGTCTTCATCACCTCCATCTTCTCTATGTTCACTTCGAGTTCTGTTTTTGTTGCCGGCCTACCTCTTCAGCCAATTTGTTAGTATTTTAAGATGTTTGTTTTTTTATCAACAAGAATCGAAGATACTTTTGCACACTTATACCGTTTGCACTTAATCAGAATTTGGTAGAACTATTGATTTAACGTATTCATTATCAGTAATTTGAGTATTGTTTTTTTATTTTCTATCCTTTATTACTTCCTTTAGGGATTCATTTACATCAAAGGAGGCGGTATTATCCAATTTATCAACTTCTTCTCAAATCACCGATGAGAATTCTAACAGTGAATCAATGAATGGTACTCATCTAACATGGAATAATAGTCAAATTCGTCAAGCATTAAGCGAATTAAGTAATACAATGGCAACAACTGTGGTGAGAGCAGGCTGCTAGCCGATTGGTTGGCACTAATCTACGTTAAGGTCTAGGTCACTAATATGGGCCGTGAGAAAATATGAACAAGCCTGAGTCAACAACCAATCACAGCAAAGTTAACGTGGCAGAATATGATTCGCAGAGAGAACTCTATTTGTCAAGGAATCCCGAAACAACCAATCAGAAGCCTGCGTTTGTCTACCTAAACAACCAATCAGATGACTGCGCTTGTCTATAATAATGTAGTTGAAAGATGTATAAATACGTGTTGATTTTCATAATAAAACGATCTGTTGCCTGGCCCTTGTCTTCTGTTGTTACATTTGGTGTCGCTGCCTACCGACAAATGGAAAGCCTATGCCCTGCTGTTTTCGATGGAGACATATGGATCTTCGGGCAGGACTTCAAAGCTTCTGCGCAGTTGAGTGGCGTTCAAGATCTGTCAGCGATGGAGCTGCTACTTGGGACGCTGCTGGGAGGTCGGGTGAAAGCAGCATATGAAAGTGTGAGCCGAAGTATGGACGAATGTTCGACAGGGTCAGGCAAACAGTTTCCAAAGTGGGAAGGACCATATATGGTCACTTCGAGATGGGGTTACGTAGACACAGTCGCAATGGCGAACAATGAGAGGCGCGTGAACGTCAGCGAGCTCCAGAAATGGATACAGCGAGACAAGCCAACGATGACGCCTGCACCAAGTAGATCAAGCCGACTTCAGTCGCACGTATTTGACGGGGGACGAGTGTGGTGAGAGCAGGCTGCTAGCCGATTGGTTGGCACTAATCTACGTTAAGGTCTAGGTCACTAATATGGGCCGTGAGAAAATATGAACAAGCCTGAGTCAACAACCAATCACAGCAAAGTTAACGTGGCAGAATATGATTCGCAGAGAGAACTCTATTTGTCAAGGAATCCCGAAACAACCAATCAGAAGCCTGCGTTTGTCTACCTAAACAACCAATCAGATGACTGCGCTTGTCTATAATAATGTAGTTGAAAGATGTATAAATACGTGTTGATTTTCATAATAAAACGATCTGTTGCCTGGCCCTTGTCTTCTGTTGTTACACAACAACAATGACAGAAACAACGGGAAAAACAGAACAGTCTAAATCACAAACAAGATGGGCAGAAATACTGCATGAATTCGATCAACCAGAATCAGACTCACTCACCAATATTGATAATTCAAGTCGATCATTGGTAGATCAAAGTTTACTGATAAGCAGTGATACATCTAGTCGTCATTCTAGTACCGTTGATCCAGAGAAACTAGGAGAAACTGGACATAAAACTGCGGATTCACCACATATACCAATTGAAGCATTAAGTAAACATCTTGATAGTCGCTTATCATCTATGATGTCTGAATTAAATTGGTCTCATAATGAATTACTGTACAAATTTGCTCAACTTGAATGTAAACTTGATCAAATGAATAAACTGTTAGTACAAATGAAGGAGGAACATGATCTGCTGCGATTGACATTGATGACTAGACATAGGCGTTTTTAAAGATATTTTTTTCATAACCGTTTTGTTTATTTTTCCACCCCCGTCTTTCTTTCTCTCTCTCTCTCTCTTTCTGCTGTCACCATTTTTGTTATTCAAAGTTATTATGTACACCCTTCTGATTTTGCATTTTATCTTACACATACACGCATTTGGGCATTTTGTCTAGTGTAAGAAAAAATTTTTTGAATACAATGTTAGCGTTTAGGGATTCTCACAATATTCATGAGTCATTTGTTTTTTGTTTGTTTTTTTGTTGCTTCCAATGTAGACCGTAGTAGGCGAGAGATCATGTGTGTAGTGCGCGTGTAGTATTTTGCAGGATAACAAACTGTGAACATGAATAATCCCACGCCCCCTCCCCATCTAGACGTTAGTGAAAACAAAACACGTGGTTCAGCGAAGAGTATCGTTTCGGCGGTGAATTCATTCATCACTTAGCTGTGCAAGTATTGGTTTTGCAGGGATTTTATTTGATTGGATGAAGGATTTCATCACGGGCTTGATATCAGTCAGGAAACTGGAGAGCTGTTCCGTCCTAGTTTGGGACTCTCCAGCAGTACGCACCCACCGCCACCGGGGTTCGAACCTAGGACCTTCTGGTTACAAGATGAGCTAGCTCATAGACCATTGAGCCACTGGGACCCGATTTAATGGCCAGCCCATGAATTCTAACTTCTGCCGATTCATGACATAGGGCGACGATTCCGCGATGTCTTTTTCGATGAGTTACTGCCTCATCTTCAACCTGCTCTACCCTACTGGTCATATATATGTATATAACTAGGTGAGAAGGGGGTGGTGGAGAGGGGTGAAAATGTGTTGTCTAAAAAACATGCATTAACATATCAAGGAAGTTGAATAAGCTTGATACAGTTACATAATAAGGTGGACTAGAGGAAATTCAATTAGAAAAAGACGAAAACAAGTGATTAGTTTTGACATAACCAGTCTACATACTGATATTCCCGCATTGAGTACGACTCTGGAGGCAATTAGTAATGAAATGAACATTGATCCTGAACTCAGAAGAAGGACTAAGCTCTGCTGTCGGTTGATGAAATCACATTAGGTGTCCAGTTATGTTGTCTAACCTCGACTTTATTCAAATTCCAAAATAAACTATCCCGGTCGACAACTGCTACCGCCTTGTCGTGGTGGTCGGGCTTGAATACCGCAATGTCCCAACAAGCTAAACTGGCTGGAGCTCATGTCCCTGCGGGTCCTACCATGTCAGGAAGGTTGTTTGGATAGCGGTTAAACTAAAAGCAGTTATCATGGGGTACATGGACTCCAGAATCCAGTCGGATCAAATGGCGTATGAACCCATATGGGGTCACCGGCAACCATGGGAATGCAGCTCCTGACACTGCTCCGCTGCCTTGCGGATTAGACTCCAAGTCAAAGGCTCCGGGGGTGGTCCCTTAATAAAACCACCTGCTTCGGTCTGGGCGCCCGGGCAGTGTCTCAGCCTTCACACAAAAAATGAAATAAAACTGTGTGACGCATCTTTCTTGGTTCCATATTTGTACCGAGTTTTTTCTGCGTTTAAATAAAAAATAAACTTTATAAACAAGGAAATGGGATCCCCAATAGGTGCAGATATACTTATGAATAGTTGGGAACGTAAGGCTCTCAGAACCTGCTGCTCCTAGGTTATGGTAGATGGCACATTCCATCACTGTGTTGAAATCTGAACATATCCCTCAGGTTTTTACACATATAAAGTTAGAAAACGAACAAGGTGAGTTGGTTATGCTAGACTAGAATAAAAGGAAAAAGAGATGGTGGGTGGTTAGATACTAGCTAGCATTTATAGAAAGGAAGCCGACACACTCTAATGCAAAATACTTAGACTTTAATTCATCCCATCCAGAATCGGTGGTAAAGATGGGTTTAGTTAAAAGTCTATATCATAAATCGGACCAACAGCCTAACTAGTAAGTCAGAATATTTGAATAACGAAATCGAACAGATAAAGGTAGTATTACTAGTGAATAACACACTAGCCACCAGGATTTATTCAGAAATATATTAGAAGAAGCATAGAAAAACTGAGACTAGCAATGAGAGTGACGAAAATGATATTGAATTCAAAGCCTCTCTGTAGCACTGCTGTATAAAGAAGAGATATCAGAGGCCTTACGTAGAATTCTCAATCACGCTGGAATTAGGGTGGCATATAAACGAAACAACCAACTATCTCAGAGATTTACTTTGTCGGCCTAAGGACCGAATAGATCCAATTAAGAAAAGTAATATAATTTACCAAATACCATGCATGTAATGACTGTTAGTGAGGTCAATTATATAGGTCGAACTAGTCGATCGGGGTCAACTAGGTAATTGTAGCATAAAAATCTTGCTAGACATGGGATATGAAAAAGAGAAGACGTTCAGCGAAAACACTCTTTTCGGCGAATTCAATCACACATTTATATATAATTATTTGTGTGTGTGTGTGTACATGAGGTTTGTCAAGTTTAGATAATTGATCAGGTAATAAAAGAATGATCTAATATAGAAACAAGGTTAATCAGACAGCAACTAAAGTAAGATTGAGTTAGTAAGTTAGATGACACAATATAATTGACTAAAAATGTTTCAACTTAGGTCAGGGTAGCAACAGAGGTAATTACAGGTAGAGACTATGTAGAAGTGGGGTAGAGAACAGTGCTATTTAAGTTATTACTGAAATTGAGCGAATAAATTGGATGACGTAACATAAATGAATGACTAGAAATTGAGCGTTGGTCAAGTCAGTAACAGTGGTAGTGAGGTGTAGAAATTGAATCGGGTGGGGTTAGAGAACAAGAAGGTTGAAAATGTAAGATATTACAATTGAGAAGACAAAATAATACTAATGACGAGACGGAAAAAAGAGATAAGGTAGAATTTACTAGTCGGGTAATAAGATAGATTACGTCCATTGCAAGTGTAGTGATTGAACGAACTTCTTCTGTATGCGGAGTTCAGGACTTAGCAAGTGAATCGCCATTGCTTCTGCAGTTTGAAGAAGTCTGATTCGTACACCTTTAGGAAGACTACTTCTTACTCTGTAGACGACTTTGAAGTTTGTTTGGAGTGTAGCTTGGTGTCCGGATTCTATCAGATGTTCTAAGATGGAGCTGCGGCGGCATCATTTCTCTCCTTTGTAAAACCATGTTAGTAAGTGTTCGGTGAAACGTTTGGAAAGCGAACGCCGGGTACGGACAACATACCTGGCTCCACACGAGCAGGTGAATTGATAGATACACATTGATGAGGTCAGCAGTGGTAGCTCATCCTTCACGTTCATACAAATCATAGGTTTCGTGGAGAGGGTTATTCGCGTAGTTCAGCTGTGAAGAAGGTTTTCTTAAGTGAGCGCGACAGTCGATTTTTTAGTGTTTCCGCGGATATATCTCCATTGAATTGAAGGTTCATATAGAGTAGTTTTTTGGGAGGCTAAGCATGGGCGGCTTTTTTAGTCTAGGATTCATAGATTTTGCAATAAATTGTTCTGGATAACAATTCTCTACGAGGATTCTCTTGAAATTGTCCAGTTCATCTTCTATGGTATCCGGGGTGCAAATTCTGCGAACTCTGTAGCTGAGTGAACAGATCGGGTTTCGTTTGGTGTGTAGAGGTACCCAATTGTGAAAGTTAGTAAGCTGTCCGTTCCACGTCGACTTTCTGTAGATAGATCCTTACAGTGTTCCATCCTGTTCTCGTCTTGTCAGTTGGACGTCAAGAAAGGATATTTTAGAGTTGGAATCTTTCTCCAGCGTGAACTGAATCGCGGGGTGGCAGTTGTTAGACGACTTCAAGATGTCGTCTAGATTTTCTTCATTGATGACGATGATGGAAGTGTCGTCGACGTATCTCTTATAGATTTCGAAGGTATCGATCATTTTCTTCAGGTATGTGTTTTCGAGTTTTGCCATGAAGAAATCTGCAAGCAATGGGCCTAGTGGTGAGCCCATAGCTATACCATCCTTTTGGTGATATATTTCGTTATTAAAAGAGAATTGAACATTCAGGGTACACCTCAGTAGGACTTCTTTAAGACGCTCGGTGGGTATACCGATGTTTATTCCTCTGGGGTGAATAAGTTCACATATATAGCATATTGTTTCAGTCAGTGGAAAGTTTGTGAATAGTGATGTGACATCTAATGAAATCATGGTCTTGTTGGATACGTTGATGTTTTCGATTGAGTTGATAAAGTCGAATGAATCTCGAACTGTGTGGCAGGAAACTTGTCTTCTGATTGGTTCTAGTAGGTCTGCTAACCATTGGGCTGTGCGGTGATATGGCGAATTGGCCATGTCGAGGATCGGTCGAAGAGGGACCCCCTTCTTGTGTACTTTCGGGAGTCCGCAAAGTCGTGGTATATTTGAGCCAGATGGTCTTAGGGATTCGAAGGTTTCGTTGCTGGTGAAAGATTCAGTCTTTAGCTTACGAAGGGTGTTCATTAGCTTTTGTTCGGTCTGTTCAGTCATGTTTTTCTCGTTGATCGGTCTTGCATTCATCGGATAGTATAGTCAGCACTTTACTGATATAGTCTTTGCGATTCATGATTACGATTCCTCTGCCTTTAACACGACGTAATATCATAATCTCTTCGTTTTTCATAAGTTCTTTCAGCTCCTCATAGTGCCTCTTCGTCAAAATGGACCTTCCGTTGGGTTTGGTATTTATAAACTTGTGACAACAGTCGAGGATTGATGCTTTGAGTTGTTGTAGGTTTTCATCTGATGTGAGTGTGAGATCGTAAGTTTGGTTTATTAGATCTTCTAACTGAACCTGGCATTGTAGCTCATCAATACTTGGTGGTTTTACGCAGAATTTTTGACCTAGAGATATTGCCTCTAGTTGGGTAGTAGACAGTGTGATGTCTGAAAGATTGAATACGTACTTTTCTGGATTGCTTGGGAATGGAGATTCAGTATTAATTGCAGACTTTAGGCTTTTGAACAGATCTGCTTTAGTCTTGTTGCATTCTTTCTGAGTGACTTGTTGTACATATTCTTTGAAGGAAAGGCATAGTTCTTGATCTAAGTCTTTGACTGCATGAGCTCCTGAGTAGGCATTTCGCTCTAGACCTGGAATAATTGACCCTGCTATGTTTAATAACCTAGAAAAAACAGCGTTCAGCCATTGCACTGCATTGCATTCACTTGCATGTAATCACACACACACACAATAAGGTGGGTGGGACAGGGTGAGAGTATTACAAAGTAACACAGTTAGTTGGAGACGGA